CTATGATCAGAACTGAGTCATACAGAAAATACTCCTACAAGGTTTGACCTTTTACTTGTATCCCACACTGAGATAATATTATACTTAAAATGGATATCAATAAGAACTTTGTTTTAAAAAGTATATTTAAAATAAATTACTTTTAAATAACAGAAACTGTTTTCAATTAGCCCTGTTAAAGGAAATCAACTAGAAAGTTATGTATGCTTTTTTATTTTCTTTATATAAATTATACCCAGGAGTCCTATGATAGCAGCACTGTACAAACTATGCACTACCTTTATATTTATTTCTTATCAAAATAAACTTAACAAATTAGATTTGTTTTTACAGCACTTTATATCCAATAATGACAATGTTGTATTGGTCCCAGGATAAAAACAATGAAAGTAGCAGCTGAATGGTATTTTTATTAAGAGTTAACAAAAATGTCTTGTGCAAACAGAGTGTATAAAGAAAATTAATTCCATAATTCCTCATGATGAAGGCGTCCTTCTCTTTTTTTCTTTTTTTCTCACAATATCAATCTCATTTGGAAGGATCATTTTGAGGGGAAAACTTTAAGTTTTAGCATGACTTACTCAGCAAAATGATATGGCTGAACTTAAACATTGCTGACTGCTAGGATTTAATATTAGGACCTGGCAAATGTTTTGATAACTTAATACTTTTTAAAAGAAAACTTGTTTGTTACTGAAGATTTTGGGAGCCCAGAAGAAATATAATCTTAAAAATAACAGAACTAAAGATCCAAAGAGATGTTTCTTCTTTTTCCCATTTTTTCCATTTCCTCTACCTTGAACTGGTTCCTCCATGCTAACATTTCAGAGGCCTTTTTTTTGGTGGCAGATTCAAATATCTCAGAGATATTCACCATACAACTCAGCAAGAGTCCACGTTTTCCTCCAGCAGTGGAAAAATGGCAGGGCTAATAGTCTGGGGTTTGTTACTAAAAATGAGTCCTTATACAAAAAAAAAAATCAAACATTGTTTAGAACATGTGGTTTGCTGCTATTAAGTTAACAGTGGAAAATCTCATTACTTTTAAAGTTAATTTTATTTTGTGGTGGGATTGTTCTCTAGGCTGAAGCAGATTTTCTCTTAAGCAGAGCCTCTAATCCTACCTTACAGTCTTCTGTTCAGCAAGTCACTCTTTGCATAGCTTGACTAGATAAATATTTTAAGTCAAAATGCTGAATTAAAAGTAAAACAAGAAGAAAGAACTTTTTCCCACATGTGCCTCTGGGGCTGCTAGCAGGCATTCGTGTGCCATCTTCTCCAGCTCTTGCTCTGACTAGAGAAGTTTTCCAATAAATATCTTGGGTTAAAGGTGCTCTTTGAGAAGTGCTAACAAAGTTTCTACCTCTAACAAAAGATTAGATGCTGCTGAGCGCTCCCATGGGGTAAATTTGAGGTTGGACAAATTGTGATGCCAGCTCCATGCAAGAAGCACCATGGAGATGTAAGAAAGGTGTAACATGGTTTGATGGACCAAGGGTTCTGAGAATCAAAGCAGTCAAACAGAAAAGAAAATAGAAGACTGTAAAGGTTTCTAGTCCAGGTTTCTTTTCAAGTTTTGGAAGCATCTAATCTGACTTCTGACTTTTCATTGAGGCTATAATGATTTACCATAACAGAGAACCAAATCTGCAATACGAGGGGAGAATAACCCCAAGGCAGAAGCCTTGCTTACAGCCTGTGTGCTGTATATGCATATATATTTTCTACTTAAAAGTTACTATGACTCAATTCTGAAACTCTCATGGTTTAAAATACCAAGTGAGATTCAGAGTCACATAATATTTGTGTTCCACCAAGAGCCCAATGGTTTCTTTGGGTAACATATGCTCACACCATATAAAATTCACTCTTGTGCAGAGGTGAGCTATTATATTATAAATTCCACTCACAATAATCCGCATGTAACTCAGTCTGTGAGCTGTATTTTAGGACACACTTAAGCCTTCAAACTCAGCCATTCCACTTTCACTCTGCACTTTCCTAGGTACCAGTCAACACAAAAATTTGACATATGAATAAGCAAAATATATGCACACAAGATCGCTGATTATCTGGTACTAATTTTTTTTTTTTTCTGAACATCTCTCTATAGCTCTTCTCAACAATGTGGCCAAATCTCCACCTAGAAGCTGACTCACGTAGCCCTATTGCTGCTGAGGCCTTGCTTCACCATCAGTGATAATTTTGGAAGCTCAGGAGTTCAGTCCCTCACTATTTTGGGGGAAAGAAAATGTATCAGCTGCCCAGCAAACAGAGAGGCCCTGATCAGTCTGAACTCTTACACACTCAGCGATGCTCTGCTAGAAGTATCTCTGTCTCAGTGCAGTTCATAGGTTTGTTTCAAGCTACTTCCACTAAAATTTTACAGAAAGTGAAAACAGAGCAGAGGATTGTTTATTGTTTCACTGTAAATAAGAGTACCTCAGGAGGAGGGGTCTGATCTTCACAAGGGCATGAGCACCTGCAGCTCCCATCCCAGTTAGGAAGAGCAATAGGTATTCAGCATCTCTGAAATACCAAGCTTTGAACTTAAAACACGGGAATTCTTAGCTGACCTCCCAGAGGTAAAGTGATTCCTGCCATTTGGGGAGTGGGTGCTATTTGGAGCATTGTTAGAGATTTAGGAAAGGAGTTCACAATTGGGTACAACTACAAAAACCATACAGACTGGGATCTGGGGTAAGACCCAAATCCCTTGTTTTACACATGAACAAAAGCTAAACGTAACTAGCCCGGGACTGAGAAAATTTTGTCTCTTGGCAGATGTTTAAAGTATCAGCTGAGATAGAGTGAGCAAGACCTTGCTCAGATGGAGAGTGATGATTTAGAGCTGCGGCATTCATCTGTACCACGCGGTAGTGAAACCAACTCATTTTTGACATCTCACACATATGCAATTGAAAAGTGAACTTGCAAAAAGGGGTTATTTCAAGAGCTGAGTAGAAGTAGGTTGTTCATTTTGCAGCGCTTTTGTGTTAACTTTCTTATGTTTTGCTATAAGCAGTTCTATACCCCAGGAGTTTTGCTTTGAGTTTTAGCTTCAAACAAAGCAAAACTGATTGTAAACCACTGTATTCTGACTTTTCATGTTGAAACTATATCTCACACAAAAAGTGTCAAAAGCCAAAGTGCAAAGCACTGGTAGCCTGGGGTTTAGCTCAGCCCACGTTCAAACCATCAGACTGAGGGTCAGAGACAAGCTTTGTCTACGTGCAGTGATGTCAAGACCTGACTCTTCGGTGTAGTCCCGTGTCTGCATGAAACTACTCAAAACCACCCAATTTTATGTAGTTTCTTCCAGGAATAATAGGTGAAGCCAACCCAGAGTTGTCAGATTAAACTAACTTTAAATAGTGGCAAATTAGTCATTGTTATTTTTAATAGATTCAGTTTTAGCTAGGTCCAATAAAATTATTTTAAAGGTTTGCTTAAACAGAAATCCAGAGATACAGATAGCACTGTTTACTGATGGATGAACTCTATTTGCCTATCTTTATCTTAACAGACATGATTTGTCAGAAGCAGTATGGTAGTGTCCAGAAACACCTTCCTGGAGGAAGCTTTGAAGAAACACCTACTTAAACATACTTTTATCCTTTATTTTATCCACTTTGCACATTTATTTTCTTAGTAGCCCTTCAGCCCAATGGTTAACACATTGAATTTTCATTCTTAATGGCCACAGAAAATCATTTCTGTCTAATTTACAACAGCACTTATTATCATATTTCCATGGTCATCATTTAACTTTCCACTACATTAATAACCAAGACCAATTTTACCTAGCAAGCAATCTAAACCCTCTAACTTGACAAAAATACTGTGTGCTTATTTCTCTTTCTAACCATCAAAGAAGGTCCCTACGACAACTCTGGGTATCAGCATTTTTCCTGTGTGATTCACTTACACCAAGTAAACCCTCTAGACATACATTCTTCCTTTTTTTAAATTTCTGCTTAACGAATAGGATCAACAGGTCCCCTTCTCCGTGGGTGGTGATAATGTCAGTGCACCACTGTCCAAATAACCTTTCTCTATAGGGAAATGCTAACATTTAATTCTTTAAATTTAAACCACATGTATTTTGGTCTCATAACTGCACTCTGTATTAACCGCCTTTTGTTATTAATTTGTATCACTAAAAATCTTAATGAAACCAGTTATTTAAATTGGAAATGTTAAGTGCAGTAGACATCTAAAATTCATGTATGAGCTATAATACATCAAAATATTTAAATAGTAACTAAATATTTTACCTAACCACTGTAAACACATTTTCAGAATTAGTAATGACACAGCCTCGCATATGTTCAGTGTAAAGCCGTGTCTCAGAATGGCTGTTCTTTTTAGCCCATTTCAGGGAACATAAGCAATGGCTTTTGAATGGTTTCTATCTCTTACCTTCATCTTATACAGAAACAAAAAGTGTCATTTAAGTGCTGTCTACATGAGACCTCCACCAAGGAGAGCAAATTATGTGTGGGTTGACCACATCCAGTTTTCCTCCTGGTACTCTCTGGAAGAGGCACTGCCACTGTATACATTCTTTGCATACATTGCCATAGGGTGACCACAAATATACAACTGCCAGTGGAGTAAAAACAGTGGTATTTGGGACAAATACTCAGGGACTCCTTGTTCAAACTACACAAACCACAGCTGGGATAAAGTGTAACGGTTTCCCCAGACTGAATTGTTCCTCAGTAAAATTTAACACAACTGCAAATATTAAAAACCTAATAGACAGATTAGCTCTGAAACCACAATTATATTAAAAACTAGGGGGGGTGGAAAGACTGTATAAAATTTTAAAGTGTTTTCCCTAACATCTAGAAATGAAATGGTTTACACATATGATTTAGATAATATTTACTTAGTTCTATACTTATAGTCATTATTTTAATTACACATTCCACATTTCATCATATAGGTATGTTATTTAATACATATAAAGCTGTAAACATTCATGTTGCAGATAACAGTTTAGATACAATCACATTATCTTCTGAACAGCATTTTTAAAAACATGTACCACCTCCCAGGTATAAATTCATGCTGCCTTTCTGAATTCTGGAGCTTCATAAACTAAATATTTCACTACCCAGAATACACTTTAGTCCCCTGGACTAACATTAATAAAAGGAGATTCTTTTCCCAGTCTGGCTGGGGGAGCTTAGTGGGGCTGGTAAATTAGGTCAAAAATAACAGTGGTCTGAGATGGTTCAAAAGATACTCGGTGGGCTTGGTCGCAAATTTCAGGGTGCTTAGGTCATAGCTCTCCATAATGCACATTCCTTCCCATTTCACAATCTTTCAATTAATTCCCAGTCCATAAACATTTATCACATGCCCTCGTATTCGGTAAAACCATTATAAATGCCATTATACCCTTCTTAAAGGACAAACCATTCCCAGGTCTCTGTAGGAGTCTTCCTCCACCTTCATTCAGGCTCAGATTCCCAGTGATCAGTGGAATGAATGACACCAAGAGGGTATCTGTTTCTTGTTTTAAACAACCATCTCAGCCATGCCTTGGGGGTTCGTCCTGAAAGAGATTGAGAAAGACTTCAAAAAAAAGAGAGTACATGAAAACAGTTCTGCTTCATTAGCAAAATTATAAAATTAATATTGCACGCTACTAAAGCAGATTTTACAATTGCTCTGTAAGTCACCCTACATCACGTCTTTTTTCCGTAACAATTTCTTTTTTTTAAACTTCTGCAAAAGTAGTCCAAATTCCTATTGATCATAAAGCTACTGACTGATTTTAAAAAAGCTCATGAGAAACTGTTCTCTGCCTACAGAATCCTAACTAATGCCTGCAGTGAATTTTATCCAGAATTTGCTACCTTCCAATAGCTTTGAGTTATATATTTTATGCATATACAATAAATAATTTTACATATTATATACAACAAATTGTTCTTGTTACAGAACAATTCAGTAATCCTTAACCCTGCACTGTACAACTCATATATAACTACACTACCTAATACATTCAAGGTTTTTAACTTCCCTGTGATTCAGTAGACCATCAAAAATGGTCCTGATTAACATAGGCTTCTAACTGCCTGTGTAATTAATGCAAGTATTTCTCTAATTCCCTCTATCTGAGTGCCCTGGTACCTGAAATTACTGCTTTCTTCAGCAAAATTAGTTTGCTGCATCATGTCCAAAACTGAGGAATTAAGCTTACTTTTGCAAGACTCCCAACAGTTTTGAACATCAGACCGCTACATTCCTGATACGAAGCCCCAGATTTCTGGCCAGGACCTTTTGTGGTGCATACCCTCAGCAATAGCAGCTCCCAACTCATACACAGGTTCAGCTCAGCCACCATAATTCAAAACAGACTTTTGATAGCATCCTGTTAAACACAATAACTCTGTACTTGTTAGATACAAAATTACTTTCCTGCCTCTATGTCTTGTTAAACTTAAATAAAACACCTTAGATGGAATTACCTTCACAGCTGTGCTATATTTAATTTTGTTAAGCATTTGTAGAGGCATTATTATCTTTTACAACATTTATCTAAAGGAGAAATTCAGATGCTAAAAGAAGGTACCTAATGCCTGCTGGAATACCCTGGAGTATCCAGAATATCTGTGCAGGGATGGCAGAGATGATGTGGGTCCTACAGGAGATCTGCACCTTTAAACTGGCAGTGAGAGGCCAGGCGGAATCCACAGGGGCTGTAAAATGACACAGAAGGTCTATGTTTAGGCACATGCATTTCTTCTAAAATTAATAAAATAAAACACTAAAATTAAAAAACAAAAAAAGACTAAACAAAATTTTATATTATTTCATTTAACTAAAAACATATACAAAAATTGTAAGAACTCCAAAGAAATAATACTGTCTAAATCTCATACTTTACTGTATAAAAATCTGTTGGAGATCATCACCACTTGCTATCTAGATCCTATAAAAATAAAGTGCAGACTTAACTAGTCACATTCACAATACTTTTATACTTTCTGACTTCAAATTTAAGAATACTACTACATTTTCAAAGTTAAATACTCAAAAAAAGTCAGAAAACACTAATACAGGCTTCTTGCAAACCCAAGACTACAGCTTTTAGCTATTTTACAGTGAAGCTTTTAATTCTAAATTTATATACTATTTTTCCTCATTCAGCAAGTTGATACTGTTCATGAGAAAAGCATTGTGACATTCATAGTTAAATAACATCTTGAAAAAGATATGGCTGCAAACAGTACAACTATTTTACATCACCTTGTTGCAATTACAAATTCTAAAAATGTAAAATTAATTCCTGTTTTACTATGCTCCTCGCTGCCAAGCCTTGGGGCTTGTTCTTGTGTTTTCCCTCAACCAAATTTCCCTTTGATTCCAGGAAGAGTTTTAATGAAGCATCATATCACAGTAGCAAATAGTCCTTTGTAGCAGCACTTCTAGAACTGGCTGAGGAGAAGATAAACCTTGCTGAACTAGTCAACTGGAAGATGGTCACAATGAAGATACGAGAAAGGTAGATACGATGTTAGGATGTATCAGGTGAAGCATTTCTAGTAGGGTGTAGAAGTGTTGTACTATTGTTGTATGCAAGGCAATAGTGAAGGATGCACACTTCTGTTTGCCTTTATTTTTAAAATGTCAATTTAACTTAAAGTAATGCTGGGGGATGGAAAACTAAGCTTATGAAAGAAAAGCGTGTAGATTGTATTCATTCAGTCTAGGATGTTTGGGCCGAAATTTTCAGCTACATGTTGATGCAAATTGTAGGGGAAGGGACTGCATATCCCCCCCCCCCCCCC